GGGGGGGGGGGGGGAGGGAACACCCGAGGTTGCCCGAATTTTTAACCTAGTAATGAGATTTTTGACCGAAAAACATGCCCCAAGTCAACATTCGACATAGTTATTGAGAAAGACTCTTTGTAATGATTCTAGATCCACGTCAAGAGTTCGAACTCTTTGCCCATAAGAGCCATTAGAAAATCTCTGTAGCTCAGTTGTAAACATATTATTACAGTTGGGATTTCAAATTTTTGTTAATAATTTTATAAGAAAGGGCTTTACATTTTTGTAATATCAATTTGTGTACATTCTGTTCAGAATTAATTTGATGTTATCGCTATATAAATATCAATAAGATGTTAGGAGATATTTCAGGACGGAGCCAAGTTGTTTTTTGTGGCACCGAAATGGATTCAAGTGAAGTTTTGGGTCCTACTTTTACGTTAGGGATTTCGAAAATATTCTTACATGTAAACAACAATTGACATTTTCGTCTAAATATAAAATTGCGTAGATTCCGTTCAGAATTTTTAAAAGTTTATTTGATGTTCGACGATATTTCAGGATTAAGCTAAGGCCTGAAGTCGATGGGAGAAACCCGAGAATCTAGGAATCAGGAAAGTAAATACAGAGATATTAGAATATCTAGCTAGATACAGATTGAGTTTGTTTACGATATTAATTCCTAATGAAATACCAGCGTGGGAGAGATTACAAGATTTATCAATATCTACTTCAAATATACCGTGTTTCATATAGTAGATAAACTTCGTTGTAGGTATCGGGGTAATAGTCACGTGATCATCGACGGTCAATCAACAGGCTTCTACATATGTTTTGTTGTGTGTATATGAAAACACACAATTTTCAAATATTTCAGTAATGGCAAATCCCCTCGTTTAAAAAAAAGTTGTTTTGATTGGTTAAAATGCACCGCCTTAAGCATTTCGAATAAAGTGAATCGCCATCCTACCTATTTTTGAAAAGAAGAGCGTAATGTAAATGACGATTGATACTGTTCTACATTCATTCAAACTGATTTGTAGTTTTTGGTTTTGGTTGGACATGTCTTTCTATAGTAGTGGTTAGTTCATCAAAGCACACAAAGTACAGGAGCAGACTAGTGCAGCTTTTTATTCAATTGTCAACCGCCCTCATATATCAATGGTTTGTACACTAAGTATGCTACTGTTCGTCCTAAACAAATCAGTAGCAGATTAGTGGAGCTTTTTTTCATTTGAAATTTGATTTGTAAATTGCTTCTTCTGGTTTTGTTTATGGATTTATGGTTTGGACTGATACCTAGTTTCTTTGTATGATAATTATATTTTGGGTTCAGGAATGCCAGGAATTCCCGACACATTGATTCCATTAGTCACCGTCTTATCTGGTTAGTATATTTGTCATTCTGTCTGATTATATGATGTAACAACTGACTAAGCGATATGTAATGTGGGAAATATCGTTACTGTTCAAATAACAGTAAGGTTTATTACCTTATTGTCGACTGCCAACTCTACAGACTGTACACGTTAAAGCTCCCTTGACAGTTGAAAATCGAATAAGAGTAGGCTAATGCCGCTGTCCTGGCAAAATTTCCCTCATTACACCCTGCATGGCGTTCCCGTCTTCATTATCCCACGTGGTGCAGAAAAGTAGGACGTAAAATTCCATTTCATTTCATTTCGACTGACAACTACGGTAGATCTTAAAAAAATGCTCTGACAAGGGGTCTCATTGTTTTGTGCCGTACGAGCTACTAGAAACCCTGTCCATGATATTCCGAGAAACTGGAACTAGTCGACGAACTCCTGACGTAAAACTCGTCATATAAGCTTAGCGTCAGGATGTTTATTGTCGGTTTATTGACAACTTTTCAGAGAGAAAGTCTGGCATGGTTGACAGATTCCCGACCCCAGCCATCTTTAGTTGACATCACTAGATGATCTTGTCTACTACAAGGATATTAGAGAATATAACGATGTTATACATGTAGACGAGATCAAAGGTTAATGAGAATGCAGAATAACTGTCACTAGATATCCATCAAACTATCGGGCTATCAGTTAGATCACAATCAGTTACCTATTGATTTCGGCCCATTTAATTTTAAGGCTATTTTAAAATTGCTGCCATTTATGATCGCTTGGTAAAATAACAAAAATGAAATTTGAAAACTAAATTTAATAAGATTTAATGGCAGATTTTTATTTTACTATTTCACCAGAGGAATGGTTGTAAAATAGTTGAAATATTTCATTGGTTCTTAGGTAAATCTGTGATTACAGTTGTTAGGTAAAACTGTGAATCTGTTACGGTTGTTAGGTAAAACTGTGAATCTGTTACGGTTGTTAGGTAAAACTGTGAATCTGTTACGGTTGTTACATAAAACTGTGAATCTGTTACGGTTGTTAGGTAAAACTATGAAATTGTTACGGTTGTTAGGTAAAACTATGAATCTGTTACGGTTGTTAGGTAAAACTATGAATCTGTTACGGTTGTTAGGTAAAACTGTGAATCTGTTAGGGTTGGTAGGTAAAACTATGAAATTGTTACGGTTGTTAGGTAAAACTATGAAATTGTTACGGTTGGTAGGTAAAACTGTGAATCTGTTAGGGTTGGTAGGTAAAACTGTGCATCTGTTACGGTTGTTAGGTAAAACTGTGAATCTGTTACGGTTGTTAGGTAAAACTGTGAATCTGTTACGGTTGGTAGGTAAACTATGAAATTGTTACGGTTGTTAGGTAAAACTATGAATCTGTTACATTTGGGAGGTAAAACTATGAAATTGTTAAGATTGGTAGGTAAAACTACGAAATTGTTACGGTTGTTAGGTAAAACTATGAAACGGTTAGTTGGTTTAACTATGAATCTGTTACATTTGGGAGGTAAAACTACATAGAATCGTAGTTGTGTTTTTTCTCGCAGTGTTCGTTGATACAGTTAACTGCTATAATGATGAGTATTATTATTATAATTACAGCAACGGTTATCAGTACAGGATACAACAAACCCCAGCCTGTTAAACTACGTGGACCATCACCTGAAACAAACAGAGTTGTTTTTCTAATATATCCATATATTTATATACTATATTCTATAATTGGCCGTTTTAAATCAGATATTTTCATTCTTGTTCATGATTGGTATATAGAATGAGTATAGTGGTTATGGCCGATTATTTCTTATTTCCGTTGAAAGTAATAAAATAGTTTTGTCCTTTGGCAGTACCATTTTTTATAGACTTCGACAATTCGAAATGAATTCCACTGTTGAAATAGTGCTCAATACATCAATTATAGAGCAATATAAAAATACCACTGTTAAAATATTGCTCAATACATCAATTGTAAAGTGATATAGAAATACCACTGTTAAAATAGTGCTCAATACATCACTTATAGAGTGATATAGAAATACCACCGTTAAAATAGTGCTCAATACATCAATTGTAGAGTGATATAGAAATACCACTGTTAAAACAGTGCTCGATACATCAATTGTAGAGTGATAGAGAAATACCACTGTTAAAACAGTGCTCGATACATCAATTGTTGAGTGATATAGAAATACCACTGTTAAAACAGTGCTCGATACATCAATTATAGAGTGATATAGAAATACTACTGTTAAAATAGTGCTCAATACATCAATTATAGAGTGATATAGAAATACCACTGTTAAAATAGTGCTCAATACATCAATTGTAGAGCCATATGGAAATACCACTGTTAAAATAGTGCTCAATACATCAATTGTAGAGTGATATAGAAATACCACTGTTAAAATATTGCTCAATACATCAATTGTAGAGTGATATAGAAATACCACTGTTAAAATAGTGAGCAATACATCAATTGTAGAGCGATATGGAAATACCACTGTTAAAATAGTGCTCAATACATCAACTGTAGAGTGATATAGAAATACCACTGTTAAAATAGTGCTCAATACATCAATTGTAGAGTGATATAGAAATACCACTGTTAAAATAGTGCTCAATACATCAATTGTAGAGCGATATAGAAATACCACTGTTAAAATATTGCTCAATACATCAATTGTAAAGTGATATAGAAATACCACTGTTAAAATAGTGCTCAATACATCACTTATAGAGTGATATAGAAATACCACTGTTAAAATAGTGTTCAATACATCAACTGTAGAGTGATATAGAAATACCACTGTTAAGATAGTGCTCAATACATCAATTGTAGAGTGATATAGAAATAACACTGTTAAAATAGTGCTCAATACATCAATTGTAGAGCGATATAGAAATACCACTGTTAAGATAGTGCTCAATACATCAATTATAGAGTGATATAGAAATACCACTGTTAAAATAGTGCGCAATACATCAATTGTAGAGCGATATAGAAATACCACTGTTAAAATAATGCTCAATACATCAATTGTATAGTGTTATAGAAATACCACTGTTAAAATAGTGCTCAATACATCAACTGTAGAGTGATATAGAAATACCACTGTTAAGATAGTGCTCAATACATCAATTGTAGAGTGATATAGAAATACCACTGTTAACATAGTGCTCAATACATCAATTGTAGAGCGATATAGAAATACCACTGTTAAAATAGTGCTCAATACATCAATTGTAGAGCGATATAGAAAGACCACTTTTAAAACAGTGCTCAATACATCAATTGTAGAGCGATATAGAAATACCACTGTTAAAATATTACTCAATACATCAATTGTAAAGTGATATAGAAATACCACTGTTGAAATAGTGCTCAATACATCACTTATAGAGTGATATAGAAATACCACTGTTAAAATAGTGTTCAATACATCAATTGTACAGTGATATAGAAATACCACTGTTAAAACAGTGCTCGATACATCAATTGTAGAGTGATATAGAAATACCACTGTTAAGATAGTGCTCAATACATCAATTGTAGAGTGATATAGAAATAACACTGTTAAAATAGTGCTCAATACATCAATTGTAAAGTGATAGAGAAATACCACTGTTAAAATAGTGCTCAATACATCAACTGTAGAATGATATAGAAATACCACTGTTAAGATAGTGCTCAATACATCAATTGTAGAGTGATATAGAAATAACACTGTTAAAATAGTGCTCAATACATCAACTGTAGAGCGACATAGAAATACCACTGTTAACATAATGCTCAATACATCAATTGTAGAGCGATATAGAAATACCACTGTTAGAATAGTGCTCAATACATCAATTGTAGAGCGATATAGAAATACCACTGTTAAAATAGTGATCAATACATCAATTGTAGAGCGATATAGAAACACCATTGTTAAAATAGTGCTCAATACATCAATACTAGAATTATTATATTCTATAATATAATATATACTTACTTTTGGGGTTTATTTCAGTCGACTTTGGCGGCGGAGTTGTCATCTCTAGGATGCTTGTGCTGCTTGAACAATAAGTCACGAACTCCATATATTGGATGCCAGGACTGTCAACATAATTGGTAAGATTTTTGTCGAGTGGTGTACTGTATAACAGACACTCAAATTTATTTTTGTTGAATCGCAGCGAGATACATTCGGGTACGTTTTTGCACAAACGACTACAAAATGTAATTACAGTAAGTCTTTTCGTGAGAATTGGTGTAGCTGGATTCATCTCAATTTTTCCGTTAAATTCAGTGTTCTGTATTATTAAGGTACAATTATCCTCAACATAACCAACAGAATAGCCAGTTACAAGGGTTAAAATACAGCCTGAAATAAATAGGAACTAAAATGAATAAAAGTATCACAAGAGGCTTTTGGTCGGGACATTGCCTGTGTATCAGGAAATATATTGAAATTTACACCATCCAAATTCCCCGTCCTTTTTGTATTCCTAAAACAAAACAAAAACTATCTCTTCTTGAATGACAGGAAAGAAAAATCTTTGGAAAGAAAGTATCCAAGGCAAAGAGCTTTCAAGCGATCGTCATGGTTTTGGAATCTGATGAATTCTAGTTAATTATAATGACAGCGATAATTTGGGGCTAAAAATATAAATTTTACTTACCAAACAATTTGAGTCTCATTTTTGTAAGCCAAGGTTTCAGAGCGTGCGTTTTAAACTAAACATATGCTACTATCTAGAGTAAATTAACTGAGATTTGAATCATTTCACTAATAATCGTATTATTTCAACATTGTAACATTTGTTCTGCTTAATTTTAAAGGGATTGCAATCAGATTTTCTAGCCTAATGATGTTTGATCGGGAACACTGGTAGCTTCCATTTGCTTCATACCAATGTTCAGTCAGGCGGCTGTGGTTTCTGTAATTCTAGACACGGTTACCAATATGACGTGGCTATCATAGAGAAAACAAAGTAATACTTGTCATCAATGATCTAACGTGATTTTTCTTTAAATTGTGGAATTTTGATTAAGTGTGTTAAAAATTGAGAATATCCCAGAATCCCTTATATGTAAAAAGTAATTCGTTTATTATTTAACAAAGCAATTGATTGGGTGACCATTATATGACCCGGAAAAGAAGAAGCATAACAATCTTGTCAGAGCATGGTTGAGTGGAGCATCTTTGTCTACATTTTAATTAGATTGACTTTAAATGCTTAAAACAACCAGTGATTCAGATATAACTGGGAAGAAAATGTTTAAAATATTTTTAAGAAAGTAATTTGTAGCGATAAATTTCCATTCTGGACCACCCCCCCCCCCCGGCCCCCTCGAGTCTGTGATATGTTTTATTTTGAAATGAAAATTAAGCCCTCTAAATGATAAAAATTGAACTAAAATCCGAAATGCCCAGACCCCTCACCTCAAGGGGTTTGGCCCTTCCGGTTCTTATTTTTGAACCCTCCTCAGACATTTTCTAGATACGTCCCTGATGACTATATAGGCTTCATATTTCATGTGGGCGTATTAAAATGTTTCAATTAATTGTCTCCAACTTTTGATTAATCCTTTCAAAAGGTGATTCGTATTTTGAGACATTTATTGACAACCTTTCGACATGCTACATTCACGATATATATGACAGATAAAAAAGGAGACAAAATTAAAAAAAAAAAAACCTTTCAACAGTTATAATTTCCATATTATTGTTGTTCTGGCAATACAGACACGAAGAATTTCAGTCTCACTTAACCGGAAGTTGATCATCAAGCAGACCGGAAGTTCATTATTGGTTAAACCGGAAATAATTTGTCTGGCATTGTGAGTAGCGAGACTTTTCTTTCCATTTATTTTTCATTCTTTGACATTGATTGCGGAATGTAACCCCCTCCTTATCTCCATTCCGTCAATCATAAATATAAACCACGAGTTAATCACTGAGATCGAAATACTGCTTAACATTAAAACAAAAAGAAAGCCTACATATTATGTGTTTTTCGACATATCCCATCATCCCCTAATGCATGTTGACATATGTCGATGTCTTTAACGTGTTCTGAACGACCATGTATTTAACGTGTTCTGAACGACCATGTATTTAACGTGTTCTGAACGACCACGTATTTAACGTTTTCTGAACGACCATGTATTTAACGTGTTCTGAACAACCATGTATTTAACGTGTTCTGAACGACCACGTTCAAAGCATCATACGTTCTGCGTTTGCGTGACATGTGAGTCATACAATTTATACGCGGAATATATTGTGCACGCACAAATTTATTCGACGACCTTGCCGTACTTGGACGCAGTAGTGTGCTACTTTTAACTTACACAAAACTTATTGCCAAATGTTTAAAAACGCTGTACCAATCGCCATGGTTTTACAGGATCATTAGGGGAACTAGTTTTTCACAGTTGTTAGTATAAGTTATCTATAAGTTATAGTAGGGTTCTATATAATTTAATATTACGTTATGTATAAGTGCAATTCATTATAAACGTTACCTCACAGAGCCACATGTCTTTGTTTCAAGTCATGAAGTAGTCACCTATTGTTAATAAGATACAATTTGGGTCAATAACTAGCGATAACAAAGGTTTCCACGACTTTCGTATTTATTGCATAGACTTTATTTGTTTAACAGTTGACACATAGCTTTCACATTGACATACTTGCTTCATGTTAAACTTCATCAATATGAGAGACAACATCTGTATATTCATACTTGTCCTTGTCACATCTCGTCCTACCCAGCATTCAAGATAGTGTATTGGTGACGATTTGCTGTTTTCATTTCGGTCTTGGTATTCCATCTCCACAGGTTCATAGTTGCGAGAGAGGACTGTTCAGTCTGAATACTTTCAATGAACCTGAAGATATAAGGGTACTAGGTTTCAGCTTTTCAGGCTTGGAATGCCAAGCTTACAATACAAGGTTCAGAATTGATATCAAATTATACTTCACTTGAATATTTCTCTTCGTGACATGTACAAGAATGGCTGGAGATTGTTCCATAGGAATTGTCAACTTTCATTTTAACCAATCATACTCTAGTCTCAGAAACAAAAATATTTTATCTTAGCCAATCAGTAATAGTGTTCATAGCTCACCGCCGAAAATTGGACCTTTAAATCCATTTGTGTCCAGAATCACCTGCATTTGTAAGTTAAAAAGACGAGTCGTCTTTTCATGAGACACTGTCATAAAAAAGACATCTAAAGAAATAGGAAAAGAAATTCCTAGTTTGAAATATAGCTTGATTATAGTCGTTCAAAAAACGACAGAAATATACAGATAATTTTTTTTTGAGGAATTATGCGAATTTCGTACATTTCTAGTACTTCTGAATACTATTGACATATATTTAAGACAGAAATCAACCCCCTATATTGTCGCTACTATCCCTTTAACTTGTCATCAATCAGGACAATAAGGTGAACTGTTATTTAAGTTTGTCAACTCGGCTTCTTCTGTAGTATTCTTCAGTATCCCTGTAACTTATAATATCTGATAGGTATTTCAAGTATGTAACCGGTATCTAATTAAATTCCACGTGATTGTTATCTTCCTGCTGATTAATTAAGAAGATTGGGTTCAAAGAAATTAATCAATTTATAATTATAACGAGGTTTATATCTAGGACAGTAAGAGAATTGTATTTAGGTCATCAAACTCCAATCAACGTAATAATGATGACAATAATAATAACAATAATAATAATGATAATAATAGTAATAAATAATGATAATAATAATAATAGTAATAATAATAATAATAAATAATGATAATAATAATAATAATAATAATTAAAATAATAGTAATAATGATAATAATAATAATGATAATAATGATAATAATGATAATAAATAGTAATAAATAATGATAATAATAATGATAGTAATAATAATAGTAATAATAATGATAATAATAATGATGATAATAATAATTATGATAATAATAATAATAATAATAATAATAATACTAACAAATGATAATAATAATAATAATAATAATAATAATAATAATAATAATAATAATAATAGTAATAAATGATAATAATAATAATGATAATGATAAAATCTAGGTTTTGCATGAATCAGAATTAGGTTTGTCAATGTGTTCTGTCCTGCTAATTTTTATGTAATTTGTATCATGCGGCCAAAAAGATTTTCTCGTCACGTGACGATTCATTGACCAAGAGAAGTCTTTTTTATAAGGTTCAAGGGACATTCCGCTTTTTTCAAGATCAAAATTTTTTTCTGCTCAAATTTGTTAAAACTATAAACCAAAATCTAGAGAAATTTACACTTAAACGTATCTGAAAGTTTTAACTTAAGAAATCCAGCCGTTACGATACGTAATGTTTTAAGTTCGTTATGCTTTTTGGAAGCTGGTTACGTTCTCAAGTGATAATCAACCATAAGAAATATACTTCTTATATATGCCTGTTATTATAATTTGATAACGTTACCTGTATGTGTAATGAAACGTTGTGTTCAATAATAAATAGAAGTCTATATCCATAGCAATTGTTGTGTCTTAATGTGCAGTGATACTTCTAAATGTCTTACAAGGATTATATAATAATACTAATAATAACTTTAACTAAGGAAATCCAGCCGTTATATTGTTAACGTCAAACTATTTAAAAACATTATGTAAGAAGTTTAAGTTCGTTATGCTTTTTGAAAGCTGTTTGAAAACTACTGTACGGATTGAAGAAAAAATCCTTACTGTAGAGAAATATGTCTCGTACGCTTTCGAAATGTTTCAACTAATAATATCAAGAAATTATAAAGCCAGATACCAAAACTAGATCAAAATGCTTAATTAACGTCAGGTAAGATAAACTCCATTTGATTTCATTATTTCAGAAAGGGAACGTCAGGTAAGCTAAACTCCATTTGATTTCATTATTTCAGAAGGGGACGTCAGGTAAGCTAAACTCCATATGATTTCATTATTTCAGAAGGGGACGTCAGGTAAGCTAAACTCCATTTTATTTCATTATTTCAGAAGGGGACGTCAGGTAAGCTAAACTCTATTTGATATCATTATTTCAGAAAGGAAATGTCAGGTAAGATAAACTCCATATGATTTCATTATTTCAGAAAGGAAATGTCAGGTAAGATAAACTCCATATGATTTCATTCTTTCAGAAAGGAAATGTCAGATAAGATAAACTCCATATGATTTCATTATTTCAGAAAGGAAATGTCAGGTAAGATAAACTCCATATGATTTCAATATTTCAGAAAGGATATGTCAGGTAAGGTAAACTCCATATGATTTCATTATTTCAGAAAGGAAATGTCAGGTAAGATAAACTCCATATGATTTCAATATTTCAGAAAGGATATGTCAGGTAAGGTAAACTCCATATGATTTCATTATTTCAGAAAGGTAAGGTCGGGTAAGCTAAACTGCATTTGATTTCATTATTTCAGAAAGGTAAGATAA